TTAACGAAGAAGATCTTAATGTGATATTGATTTCAGGTAGTACTGATCATAGAGGAACTCAGGAGTTTCCAGGAAGAACAGTGACATTAGAAGCTGCAGATGGAGAAGTCTGCGTAAGTCCCATTGTTTAGCTCAATAATAATTCATTGGTTCTTTCTTGTTGGATTATATGATTCTTACAAATGTAAAATCACAGTGGGGTGTTGCCTACAAGATAACCAAAGAGGAAGATAAAAGAGATGCTTTAACAGTAAGTCACAAACCTTGGATTGTAATTTTCTTTATTTTCATATGTATTCTTGCGGATTCTTGTTTGTTTTGTCAGCATTTAGAAGTGCGAGAGAAGCAATATGATCAGAAAGAGTATCTTGATTTCTTCACAGTGAGTCCATTCTTTGTTTTATGCTTAAACTGCTTCACAAACAAAATTTGTCTTTTTTGGTGACATTGCTCTCTTACGTTGTTTCAGGACGCTAATGCTTCAGAACCGGCTGTATCAGGAGTAATGGTGTAAGAAACGCAGAGATAACTGTTATACATCAGTATGTTAACAATGTCTGATAATATTTGTTTACTCAGATATATAGCTTCCTCTGACAAGAAGAGCAACACAAACTACTTAGGACCAGCTCCTCTTGAAGACATTGCCAAGTAGGTTTTGTTTTTGAACTTTCTTCTTATTGTTGTCACATAACAAGATTTCATTGGATCTTCGTTTCTTGTGCAGGCAGATCGTAAAAGCAAAAGGGCCTTCGGGGCCAAACAGAGACTATCTGTTTAACCTTGAAGAGGCTCTGGCTCAACTCGGTAAAAGGGGCTTTTTCGAATTAATCAGATTATATCTTGGGTTTCATATATTCTAAAAGTACTAACCCTGGTTTTGTGTTCTTGATATCAAACAGGGTTTAAGGATAAACATGTCACAGATCTTGCAACCCAAGTTAGACGCATTCTTTTAGAGAGCCATGAGTCATCAGGTGATGTCGCCAACGATCTCTAGATTCCCAGATTCCTTTTCGATTTATCCGAAAAGAAATTGATAAGAGATGCTTGCATCTAATTCATCAATATGTTATCACTATCAATCACCTCTCGTATATTTCATATTTGATCATATCGTGGGATGTATACAGTGATTTAGAATACGATTCCTCTAGATGAATTAGTGTTCTAGGAATCCCACTAGTAACTGTATTTTAAAAAGCTTGATATATTAGCTGCTTGATTTGCTTAATATTCATCCTAATCTTTACTTTGTCCTTTCTATCCAAGTTGGGTTTAAAGTAAAAAAGAAAAAAAAAAGGAACAAAATGTCACTACTCTTGTACAGCAAACACAGAACTAAGCTAGAAAGGATGAAAGAATACTTACGGTAGGACACTGTGACAACCATAGAAGAAACACGCATCATCAATCTAAAGTCTAATGATCGTTAAATCATTCACTTTCCTCTGCACTGTCATCCTCTGCAATCAAAGCCAACGATAATCAATTTAAAACTCGATGGGTCCACTTTAGAGGAGAGACAGATAGAGATTCTCACCATTGTTTGGTTCTTCTTCGCTTTGGCTTCCTTCCTCAGCTTCTTCTTTGCTTTGGCTTCCTTCCTCAGCTTTATCGTTACCTTCCTCGTCTTCATTATCCTCTCCATTCTCAGACTCTTCACTCTCGCTCTCGCTTTCCTCTGTTATTTTTGGCTTTGGAGGAGGTGCAAAACTTGTAGTAGATCTTCTCCTTGAACTCAATACAATGTTGGTTGTATCAATACCCTCAAGCTCCTCTGATCTATCCTTCCTTTTTTTTACTTCTTTGATCTCTGTCAGAGTAAAAAGATTCATAATATGTTTACACATTAACCATTTCATCCAAGCTCACATTATGATATAAGTGTCGCTCCACGTAAAAAAGAGATCATTCTCAGCGTTACACTACCTTTCTCTGAAGGATCTGAAGACAGCCCTTCTTTGGCAAGTATCTGCTCAAGTTCTTTCACTAAAGTAGCCTCGCGTTTGTCTTCAGGAACCTGCTTGGCTTTCCTGTAAATGGTAGGAGCAATACTGCC